ATTGCTTTGTTGTCTTTGGTGTTGTTTTGTTGATTTTATTTTTTATTTTATTTTATTGTTATTATTATTCTGTGCATATGCTTGCGGGGAGGATCTCGGTGTCGGTGGCTTACTGTTTAATGGATTTGTTAGTTACTATTTTTGAGCCTATCGAGTGCGCCACCTAACTATGTTTATTGTTGTAGTGTTTGAGAAAGTTAATTTCAATGTGCTAAGATATTATTTTCTTCAATAATTTTTTATTTACCTTTGTCATAAGTCATATATAGTTCAATTTTTGCCAAACAAAACTTCAGCCCTTACTCTGGTCACTGTCTCACCCAATTTCCGATTGCTTTGTGTTTGGAAAAAACCAGTCTAGAACTGCTCCAAAATTTTCAGCCAAATTTTGGTCCTAAACTTTGTTCTTTTAGGTAGATCGCCCATGAAACATTTCGAGCTGGGTTAAGATAAAACAGGTCCTAGATCAATTTAGACATGGTGATTAAAAGAAATCATCTTTAAAGTTCAATTTATATAAAAACCACCTTTAATTAAAAGAGATTATGATCTCAATCAACCACCTTAGTCTATTTTCTGATAAAGCTGCATTGACAAAAATTTTCAAATATCCTTAAAATATACACATGTCAAGCACATGACATGCTTTCTTAACCAAACCTAATGGTTGACATGTATGTTTTTAAAGATATTTTAAGAATTTTTGTTGATAATTCATTAGACATTAGGTCAAGATGATTGATTATAAGCAAAACACTCTTTAAGGTTTCTATATGTTTGAACTTTGAAGGTGATTTTCATACAATCACCTCATGTAAAGATGGTTTCTATGGAAAAAAAAATACTATCAAGTATCTAAAATTGGGATTTGAACTTCTATCTTTCTGATATCATCTTATACAATTTCTTATATATTACCAAAACTCAAATAAGAATATATTGAATAGCTTTTTTTCTGTACAGTTTAATGAAACTATTTTACGGTAAAGAAATCGAAATTCGATAATCCATGAAGAAATTCAGAATGACTTCTTTAATTTCCTTATAAAGTCATATCTCAAACCTTTATTTTGAATATCCAAAGTTTACATACGAGGATTTGAAGCATTACTGAATTGTACTAACTATGAATGGTTTTGATACTTATAAATGGATGAATGGTTTTAGTTCACGAAGTAAACCTCGTCTTTATTGTTGGATATCGATTCAAACTCTAAGTTAGATATGGATATGAAGGCTAGGTTTAGTCCTAGTAATTTTCTTAAAGGCCAAGTTAACTTGGTGACAATTCAGGAGTGTCTTTAGAGAATGTGTCATATTCTAAGGTTTTAAAAAGAGAGAAGGAGAGAGACAATATTATTATAATCAAGGTTTAATAAAGGGTATAACCAGGTTCAAGAGTATTGAGAGAGAGAGAGAGAGAGAGAGAGTTTGCAGTCTTTATCCATGTAAAAAGTTGTGATTTAGAAGCGATAGTAGATTGTTTTCGATCTATGTTTTTCCCTATTGAAGGTTTTACACATTAAATATTGTGTGATTCTATTTGCTGTGTTTGGTGGTTTTCGGGATTTTTACGAGATCTAAAAATCCTAACATTTATCTGCTGCAAGTCAAATTTGATAGAATCGCGGTAAAAGACTTGTCAAATTTTGGCTCTTGAAAAACAAAATATGCTCTATAACTTATTTTTTGGTGGATAAAGAATACAAGTTTTATTTTCTTTTTTGGCAGTTTGGATAATAAAGAGAACAATCAAAAATTGCAAATTGCCTCCTATTTTTCCATGATTAGCTGAGAAAGTCTGATAAAATTTATACTCAGTAAAGAATACGATGAATATATAAGTGTTCTGATAAAATTTATACTTAGTGAAGAGCGTGTTTGTACTATTGTTCATCTGTTTGTCCCCATGCTAAATCTCATAATTGTTAAAGACCATAAATTCGACTTATGAAGTTTTGTTTTCTATAAAATTGAAGTTAGATAATAGGGGAATCCAAATTTAAGAACGAACTAATAAAGAACAAGAAAATAAATTTAAAGAACAAAAACTGTTATGTGGGCAATTAAGGGAAGGTATTCAAGATCATAACTATTAATTATTTGTTTAAATAATCATTTACAATCACTCCCATCTTCTAGTGAATAAAGCAAGTGAAAATCTCCATCAATTAATGTGGTCGGATACAAACACATGAGCATGAGAAACAGAGTATTTATTAATGCAGAGCACCGCCATGAAGTTTCTGATTGTATGATTTGAATCCTCGCGTCCCTACATCAACTTGCTGTCGATTGCAATATTCAGAGATCTTCCAACTTTCTTTTTTTTTTGCCTTAGAATAATTATTTAAATAGAGCACGAATTCGGGTCTCAAATTAAAGTATGATTGATGTATGATTTCTTTAGATAACAACCCAACAACAATATTTTTTGGTATAATAGCAAAAACTAATTGCAGAAAGGGAACTTCTAACAACCTGTGTGAAATGCCAAATAATGGTCTTTCATGTTTTGTATCACTCGTAGTCTTAGAAAATGTTTTGATTACAACGAAATAAAATTTGTACAAATTTCAATTTATGCCTTCACTAAAACCATAAAATCTCCCTAACCCGCATTGAGCAGTAGATACACTTTTTGTCATTGTTTCTTATATCGTTGGGTTTGCTACGGTTGATGAAACATAGCATCAACAATCTATAATTCAAATAATACGTGACGACAATTGGTCCTCTCCCTATTCGCAAGTATGAACTGGTTGATACATTGTTTACATTAATTTATGGCTTATCTAAGATCTGCTTTATTTTTGGTAATGATTTGAACAAGGCACCTTGCTCTGTTTCTTTTTTTTTTTTTTAAACACGCTAATACATCACTGTTTTTAGATGAAAACATGAAGGAAAGAAAAATCAAGTCACAACTGTTTCTTCTCCCAGCTTGCAAAATCTCTCTGCTAATCACTATAATAAATGGCAGCACCTGGAAGGTGACTTTCATTTGTAGCAAATACTATGCTAAGTTCAAAGCTTTAAGTTATTTTCATGAGAGGGGAAAAACTCTTTTCTTACGCATGACTATGAGTGTAGACTGTGATTGATTGCATATAGAAATAGACTTCAAGTTACTAGCACTTGCTCTAGAATCTAGAATTGTAACTAGCTCAAAATTCAGAAACTAGTGAAGTTGTAACGTGAACTTAAGCATTCGCCTAAAGCTGCCATTTTTCTCGTCTCATTCTACCAAAACTAAAGAAAAATAACCATAAAATAAATTAAGAGCCCCACACTCACATTGTCGGCCACATAATTTAACGCAAAATAAATGAGATAAAGACTTATATTTTATCCCAAAAAGACAAATATATGAAATATAATGGAGAAAGCATCTTGTTGATCTAATCATGATATTAACTATGCATCAAAAGAATGCCAACCATCAGATACATTCACAAATGTTGATGTTCAATGCTCTAAGGGTTGACATCTGTTGATACATTGATGCGTAACAGCGGGATTCAGGGCTAATTTTGAGGAGCTCAGAGTCCCTCGGTCTCCTTTGATGGTGGTCCCTGGATAGGAAGGGAGTCCTTTGGTCAGTGGGTGATGTACCTATTTATACCCAATTGACGAGGGTATTTATGTAACATTGGCTTAGTCTAAGCAATCAATTTATTCGGCTGATACTTTATAGGTGTCGGCTGTGGGTGGCATGAGTCGTCCTTGTGATTAATACGGTGATGATAGAGGGTCCCAGATGTTGACGTGGTCTGATGAGTCATTAAGACTTTCAATGGGGTTGTAATAATAACTTCGATCGTGTATTTAATGTGATAGTGATTGGCTGTCAGTGAAGGGTTCGAGAAAGGACGCCTTTCGTCTTGTCCTGGAAAGAAGGGACGTCTCGTCTCGGCCTGACAAGAAGGGACTCTCGTCTCACCCTGGCGAGAAATGACGCATGTTGTCTCGGCCTGTCTAGGTCAACTTGGAATGTAGTCTGCTTAAGACACGTGTCAGCCAGTTGAATGTAATAAACACTTTTTTATTTATATGGCACAATAACATCCATTTAGTGCACATTTAACATGATGGTATCGGATCATTTGATACGTTCCCCTCATAATGACCCTGTGCAAGTACTATTTTGGAGAAAAAGTATCTACTGAGTCTGGTCCATGGCGTTTAATATGTCAAGAAATGGATACCAATCCTCAGATTTATACACAAATCATGAAGTCTAAAGAACAAAGGGCTAACATGCATGTAGTGCATATTTAATATCATTGATTTGATCCACATGATGCTTTCTCTGAAAAAGTATTGAAATTGCTGAATAATGGCATAGCCTTTTTCATTGATATTAGGAGATATTTATAGGATTACAAGACTTTTTCATTGATATTAGGAGATATTTATAGGATTACAAGAGAATCAATTAGTTACATAAAATCTAAAACTACCTAATTAGTTATAGGATTACAAGAGAATCAATTAGTTACATAAAATCTAAAACTACCTAATTAGTTATATAATTGTTGAAACTAAAAGGGATAAGTGAGCTGTCGAGATATTAACAAAACATCATACAAAAGGAAAGAATCACAGGGCGGTGTCGACTGACACCGCCGGACGTGTCGACTGACACCGCCTTTCGTGTCGACTCAAAGGGTGTCGACTCGTCTCGTCTCGTCTCAGACGTGTCGACTGACACCGCCTTTCGTGTCGACTCAAAGGGTGTCGACTCGTCTCGTCTCGTCTCATCTCGTCTTGTCTCGTCTGGTTTGGTGTCGTTAGAGCGTGTCGACTGACTCCGTAGGACGTGTAGACTAAGACCACCTTTCGTATCAACACAATGGGTATCGTCTCGTCTGGACTCGTCTGGTCTGGCCTGGTCTAGTCTGGTCTGGTTGCAATTCCTTAATATGCTCCCGCAAGTTGGAGCTCCTTGAGGAGAGACCAAACTTCAGCAAGTTATGAAAACGCGTGCGGGGTAGTGGTTAGGTGAGTGCATCAGCTCGTTGGTCTGTGGAAAAGACATGAGTGACTCTTAAGATGTCTGCTTGGACTTGTTGTCGAATGAAGTGAAAGTCGAGAGCAACATGTTTCATTCGAGAATGGAAGACTAGATTAGAGCAAAGATTTATTGCATCCACATTATCACAGTAGATTACCGGCTGTTGTGATAATGTGAGCCCAAGTTCGCCGAGAAGAGATGTGATCCATCTCAACTCGGCAGCCGTCGAAGCGAACAATCGGTACTCGGCTTTCGTCGATGAGCGAGCCACTGTTCGTTGTTTCTTCGAACTCCAGGATATCAGGTTTCGGTCAAGATATACAATGTAGGTACTGGTGGATGTGAAGTCGTCTTTGTTAACCGCCCAGTCAGGATCTGAGTAGACATGGAGAGCGAGAGGTGATTGACGATGTAACATGATGCCGTAATCAATGGTGCCACATAGATATCTAAGAAGTCGTTTGGTGGCGATCCAATGGTCTGTAGTCAGGCGATGCATGTATTGTGGAAGTTTGTTGACTACATAGACAATATTCGGACGAGTAAGGGAGAAATACTGAAGACTCCCAACTATAGCTCGGAACTCAGTTGGGTCAGTAAGGGTTGTACACGAGTGAAGTGTAAGGACATATGAGGTGGCAAGTGGAGTTGTGAAAGTGCGAGCATCGATCATCTTTGTTCGAGCCAGCAAGTCTGTAATATATCTTCGTTGTGAGAGGAGAAGACCTTGAAGGCAAGAAACAACTTCAACTCCAAGGAAATATTCAAGTGGTCCGAGGTCTTTGAGCGAGAAGCAACGTGCGAGCACCGAGATGAAGTCCTGAACTAATGCTGCATTGTTACCTGTAATGATGATGTCGTCAATGTAGACAAGTAACATGATTGTTATGCCATTATCATTGAGAATGAACAAGGTGAAAGTACCCTAGAGGGGGGTGAAGAGGGTTATTGCTAATCTTATTAGATATTAATGCCGATTAAAACTTATTAACAAATTATTCTTGCAAGATAGATATACAAAGTGATATGAGCAAGAATAAGCAATATAAACAAAGTGCAATATCCTAACAATGAGATACACAATGAGACATATGTAAGGATAAGCAAAAATAAATGTGATAGGGCAATATAAACAATGAGCAAAGGCGAATAAAAAAGACTAAGCAATAGACACGAATGATACGCCAATGCAAACTCTAACACACAAAGATGATCACGGAGTTCGGACCTTCCGTCCTACGTCTCCGCTCCCTACTCCCGGGGAGAAATCCACTATCACAATCGGGTTTTCCACACTCACCCGAATAACATTTACACATCACACTACGGTTTTCTAGTTTACCAAAAACTTTACAATTCACACTCTTGCAATCACACTTTACACCCTCTAAGTGTTGGTCTCTAGCCAGTGTCTCCCTCAAGTGTTAGGAATTATAACCTACCTCTAGGCATTACCACCTACCTCATTCCTCTTGGGACGATCCCGTTTCTCATCATACACTTCTCTTGGTGTATAAGTGTATTACAAAATGTATCTCACAATTAGGCTCAACAACAATAAAATGTTCTCTACAGTGGGTGATAACTCAATGTAAGCTCAATCTCACAAATTACAATCCCACAACCTATTATATGATGTATGAAATGCTACAAGCTCAAATAGGGTGTGTGTGATAAAATGAGGATAAACAAAATCTAACTAAATTAACAAACTAGCAATAAATGATAATAAAAAATTAAAAACGAATTGCTAGAGAATAGAGTTAGAAAAACTTCTCTATAAACACAAAGAGGTTGATGAAGATTGAGGATGAATTCCTCAATTGAAAATGCAAGTCTCCTCTATGTAAACTCAAACACCAAACTTAAACTTTGAGAAACAAGCTTTTAAACACTTAAAACTCTTGTTAAAAACCCTCTTTCAAAAAACTTCATTCTGATGAGAACATTAGGGGTTTATATATGAAGAAAAACCAAGGCACAAAACGCAAGAAAAACTAGCAAAAATAATAAAATAACAAAGGCTGGAAATATAACCGTTGGAGCTGGTCAGTCGACTGACGGGATGCATCAGTCGACTGATGAGCTGACCGTTGGAGGCGTTTTCCAGCTCATCAGTCGACTGACGAACCTTATCAGTCGACTGATGAACTTATCAGTCGACTGGTCAGTCGACCAAAACAAAATAGAAACTTTTTTGAATTACAGGCACTTTCTTTAGTCGACTGATCGGTTAACTGATTTTATTAGTCGACTGACCAGTCGACTGATAACAGGTTTTCAGCCTGATCGAAACAAAAAATCTAATTTTAAACTGCTTTTAAAAATAGCAAACTAATTCAGAAAATATAAAACTTTAGAAAATGATTGTAAACATGATAATACACATGCTACAAAAACTAGTTTTCAAAAATCACCTCCCAAATGAGAAATCTCTTCATTTTACAAAAAAGTTCAAAACATGAAAATGTAAACATACTTGTTTTAACATTTTGACTATACCATGTTTTGAAACTTCATAAACTGATTTTATAGACTTAATAGAAGATGTATATTATGATTGTTAAGTCTATAAACTAGAATACAATATTTTCACTGTAGGCGTCTAAAAATACCTATGGGTGTCCGTACACGACTCGAGACAGAGAGAAGATGATAAACATCGCTATTAGAGTCGCATGAGCTCGTTTGACAATGACAAACACATGAAGTGAGTCGACGGGTCATACGAAGCAACGGAACTTCGGAATAACGGAAACGAGAGCTGATCGGGAGCCCCACGTCATTTACAAAAGGCGGAGCACCCCTCGTGTCCTATTTATTTCACATATGATTCAATTATGGGAGCCTGTAGATCTCCTCGTTGGCTTTCCAACGCATCTTGAATCGCCTCATTCCGAGGTCGGATGAGTGAGTTAAGGCTGTTACAGTACCCGTGAGTCGGAATTTTGCTACAGTACCCACGAGTCGAAATTCTGCTACAGTAGCAGGTCGAAATTCTGCTACAGTAGCGGGTCGGAAATTCTGCTACAGTAGCGAGTCGGAATTATGCTACAGTAGCGGGTCGGGATTTGCTACAGTAACCACGGGTCGGAATTTGCTACAGTGATTTGACCGCACAAAGAAGTGCAGTTTTGACTATGCTGCGATTTGAATCTGGAAAATCGCAAAACATAAAACTTGTAGATCTCTTCTTCATCTTTCCAACGCATCTTGAATCAGCCTAATCGGAGGTCGTACGAAAGAGTTATGACCAAAATACCACAGATATCTCAAACTGACCCGCGCTATAGTAACCGCGGGTCGGAATTTTCCGACCCGAAGCGCAGTACGGATCCCGAAATACGTTTTGACGGTTTTGATGCTGTTTTCGCAGGTTTTATCTGTTCCAGGGGTTTCTAACTAATTTGATATCATCCCCAAACGTGGTTAGGCTGTTGTTAACTGAAGATAGAGCCAAATCACTTCTTCTCATCCAAATAACCGCTTCTGAAGCTTATAAATACGAGCTCGGGTGCTCATTTCTGAGGGGCGATTGATTATCAAGACAAGGAGGTGCTGCCGGATTGTGGAGTCAAAGGAGCACGAATTTCTGCGGGGGTTGACAGATCTTGGCGGGTTCTTCGGCATAAAGAAGGAGAGTTCGAGAGATCCGACGCCCGTTCCCGTCCGTCCCTTGAGATTAGGCTTGGTCTTAATCTCGAGAAGAGCCCTGATTTCGCTTGGTCGATTTCAGCGCTTCAAATCAAATACTTCCTCGGCGAAGACGAAGCTCTGCCGAATTTTCCATCAACCGGATCCAGATCTAAGGCGGTCCACGGATAAACCCCGGCACAGGCATAGATCCCACGCAAGCAGAAGACCGATAAACGATCTCTGCGTTTGTTTTGACGAGAGTTGTAACTTTTGTTTTCATTGTGTAAAGATCTTATAAAAAGATTATCTTTTTTGTTTTCATTGTAACGACCGAAGTTGTAATGAATACCGCAATGAATACATTAACTTTCCGAAGAGTACACGAGTATAAACTGCTTCTCAACACTCCGACAAGTATAAGAGTATAAACTGCTTCTTAATCCTCCGACCGGTATAAGAGGTTAAACTGCTTCCTGATACTCCAATTGGCATATGAGTCTAAACTGTTTCCTACCATTGACGGTAAGTTCCAGGAGAATTTTTATATGTAATATTCTTAAGGATAACCCGATCATGTAACCGAATGCAATGATAAACCCAGTTTCGCGAAGAAGCTGGGGGTGGATGATTCATGTAACGGGAAGTTCCCGGAAGAATACTATATGTAATTTTTTTAGGGATAACCCGATCATTACAAACAAAGTGATAAACACTAAACCCACCGTGATTTCCGAACACTCTTTTGTTGAGACGAGATTCGATCACTTCGTTGGATCAATCTTTCCTCACAAAATTCCCATTGGTGTTTGAAAACTCACAGTCTTCCACCACAAAGTCCCCCACCGATCAGACTAATTGACGGTGGGACCACCAAAAATTCCTTTCAGTTGAATCCACTCAAACTTCCAATGCGTTTGTGCACTCAACATTCCTATTGTTAAGTCCGAACGTAGTACTTGGAATTTTAATATCCTAATCATTGATGATTATTAAACCCCTCCGTGTTAAGTATTTGTCACTTAACATCAGGAACCCCCTCTGAGTGATTTGTATAAGTCAACACTCCTACTGTGATTTGTACTCCCACTCCCACCGTCTACCTGGTCAAACCTTCCTACAGTTAGGACCACAATCAAAATCCCCTCTCGATTCCTCCAATGAACGAGAGGTCCACTTTCAATTTGAACAATCAAACCTATAAAAGCTAGGATTGTCTCCGACTTCACTTAGTTAAATCTGCAGATAGTTAGGACTAAGATCGAGTCATCCCTTTCGATAAACGAAAGACTTCCATCTCTTCCTTTTCAGCCAAACCTATAAAAGTTAGGGTCGAAATTGGAATTTCTCCTCAATAAATGAGGAACTCTTTTCTTGGATCAAGCAACCAATCCTATAAAAGTTAGGGTAATTCTTCCTCTTCCATTTTCCAGTCCGTCTTTACCCTGAGAAAAGACACAATTCCCAACTTCCAATCCGTGCACTTTGTGCACGGGGAATTTTATCTCAACTCCTAAATAGAGATAAGCCTACGCCTAACACGCGTTGCCGGTTTAGTCTTTCACCGATTGAAAAGACACCAGAATCTAGTCTGGGGTATTTTATCCCGAAGCCTAAGTAGGGATAAGTCAACGCTTAACCCGCGTTGCTGGGTGGTTCGTTCCCGTAAAAACGACCGAGTCTACGTATTCAGCATCGTAGCAACAAAAATCCATGTCTTTTATGCATGGGGAATTTTATCCCGAATCCTGAGTAGGGATAAGTCAACACCTAACACGCGTTGCCGGTTTAGTCTTTCACCGATTGAAAAAGACACCAGAATCCAGTCTGGGGAATTTTATCCCGAAGCCTAAGTAGGGATAAGTCAACGCTTAGCCCGCGTTGCTGGGTGGTTCGTTCCCGTAAAAATGACCGAGTCTACGTATTCAGCGACGTAGCAACAAAAATACCTATGGGTGTCCGTACACGACTCGAGACAGAGAGAAGATGATAAACATCGCTATTAGAGTCGTAGGAGCTCGTTTGACAATGACAAACACATGAAGTGAGTCGACGGGTCATACGAAGCAACGGAACTTCGGAATAACGGAAACGAGAGCTGATCGGGAGCCCCATGTTATTTACAAAAGGTGGAGCACCCCTCGTGTCCTATTTATTCCACATATGATTCAATTATGGGATCTTGTAGATCTCCTCGTTGGCTTTCCAACGCATCTTGAATCGCCTCATTCCGAGGTCGGATGAGTG